TGAACCTGGAAGTGAACCTGATACTAGTCAGCGGGCTTGTTAGTGAGAAAGTGATTCAGCACTGTTGTCGGCATCAGGTACTTGTGGTGGAAAAAGTGCAGGCATCTGTTTTGATGACATTTGCTAGTACAACAGGAGCCCTTCCAGTGACTTATGTCACACAGTTGAATAAACACTGTGTTAGCACTGGGCTGAGGGTTGCGATATCGACGGACATCTGCAGCCATGACAGGAAGTCTCATACAACTGTGAATATTTCCTCTGATGTGAACAGTGGATTGGTCACAGTGATCCTAACAGGCTGTGTACAGGGCAAACTGCAGGCCCTGGAGGACCAGTTCTGGGCTTGCGCATACCGTTTACACCATGCACTGAATGACAAAGCCCTCCTGCCTGGTGCTGGAGTGACAGAAATGCTTTGTATTCATCACCTTCAAAAGCAAGCGGAGCAACATGTCAAGCACTGTGTAGAGAAGAATGGTGACGTTGCCCAGCAAACAAAAACAGGGACATCAGCCAACCATTACAAGGGTGTAGTGTTGCACCTCATGGCAGATGGTTTAATAGATTATGTATCCACTGTAATGGTTAACACTGGAAGGGTTTCAAAACTCAAAGCCAGGACTATGTTGAACCAACATCTAAGGGACTATAATGGACAGCCAGGTGTTGCTGAACAGTTCTCACAACTTTTCTTGGACAATGAAAAAGAGGATAAGGATGCACCATCAGTGAAAATCTATGATAATTTGAGTGTGAAGCAGGAAGCATGGAGGAAAGCCTTAGATGTTGTTTTCCTGGTCTTACAGACTGATGCAGAGATCATCACAGGTGTAGACCAAGGGACTGAGAATCTGATGCTTTTATGATCTTCATACAGCACGTTCTGTTTTTAAATTATGAAAAATCATCTTAGTGAAAGAATGCTACCTATTTTCCACCACAAGGGGGAGACAAATTATTGCCACTGTAGTTGATAAGCTCATCTGGGAGTTTATTACCTACACCAAGCTCAAACTATTGCTGGACTGCATTTGTTTTAGCCTGGTGTAGGTACAACATGATTGTGATAATGTTCAGTTTAATTCAGACTGTGTTGCAGAGGTGTTGATTCATCTGTGTGATCATTATGGAAGATGTAGTTTGTGGTGCAGTTGAATTGCATTGTGCTATACTGATGGGTGTTTCTATTATTTTGGTCACCCTGTTTAATTCAGTGATGCTGGACAAAGTAATAGAAACACCTCTGTATTTCCAAATTCCTCATTGGAAATACTCTGAAATTCACCGAGCGTGACTCACCTGACACTACTTGTCCACAACCTTTACACATTTTGTCTTTATGCTCAGTTCAGCCAAGGAAAACAAAATACTACAAGTCCAAAACCATGATGAAATTTCCCTGTCACAGAGCATGGGAGGAAAGTTGTTGTGCCAGAATGTTTTTTAGTCTTGTTACACTTCCTTAATGATACACTTCATCATATGTTTGCAGCTTGGCTTGTGCTGTTAGGACTGAACCCTCTGACTTTGCTTCCATGCCAACAGTGGTGGATTTATGTCCCCACTCAGTCATAATGGGAATCATTGATGGAAAAGGAACGCCTCCAGACTGGGTAAATGTAAATGATTAAGTCCTATTAGGTCCGGAAGTTATTTTTGTTAAGCTAGTGTTTCCCCTCCTACATCCAATGATCCTCCTCCTCCTCCACACAAAGGTCACAGGAATATTAAAAGGTACCGATGCTCTGACCTTTGCACCCCTTAAGACTAGATAGCTGAAGTTGGCAAATTCAGGAATTTAGGCTCATTTTACAATAATTTAGTAAGTATACACATGTTATAGGGCATCAACTAAAGAACTTTCTCCTACCTGAGAAGCTACTTGTAAAAAGAGAATGATGATTCACATGAAAGTAAAGCACACTTTTGGTTATCTGCACATTATTTCCTACTGTATTTCAGAGGTGTCAGTTGCAGTGATACATATGACCTTACACTTCCTTTCAGATCAGATCTTTTGTTGTTTAAAAATTGTTCTCAGAAATAAAAAGGTTATGCTTGGAAGCCATAACAAGTTAGAATCAGTCATCTCTCTGGGGTGATGGGGCACCGAGAGGGTCGGGTATAACATACAAAATGCAACATTGAAAAGGAAATTGGAACAGCAAGGCCGGTGACACATCTGAGAGTTTGGGCTGAGGGTTTGTTTACTGACTGCCTCATGCATCAGAGAAAACCCTGGTCCTTGCAATCACAAAATGATAGTTGCCTTAAAAATGTAAAACTAAAGAGATGAGTTGGGTGAGATGAGACGGTTTGGTAGCTGCCAGCATTGGCTGTAAATTAAATTTTAGGTAATGTCACCTTTATGTTGGGGTGACTGTGGTTCAGTTGGTAGAGCAGTGATCTCCCAACCGGAGGTTCAAATCACGGTGCCTCCAGTCCACGTGTCAAAGTGTCCTTGGGCAAGACACTGAACCCCCAATTAGCCCCCGATGGTTAGAGCCATCGTTGTGAGTTGGTGCCGCAGATGGCTGCCTCGGTTCTGTACCGGAAACAAATTCCTTGTGTGTAACATACTTGGCCAAATAAAGGTGGTTGTCCTTATTCCAAGTAAGATGTCAATAACTAGCAAACATTTTTAATTATAAGATTAAACTGGTTTACATATTCATGTATTTGTTTGTCAAGAATAAGAATTATGGGGTTTTTTTTTATTATTCTTCAGAAAAAGGCACAGTTATAGGATTATTCACTACAACAGTAAATAAAGTTTTAACTGCACCAGAACTCTTAGGCAGTTGTCTTCTGTCAGGTGGATACATAATGTCAGCAGTGTGGGGGCAGGTGCCACACTGAGAACAGAATGTGTCACAGGAATTTATTTCAATAAAGGAACCACTGACAAACCATAAATCTTGTTATTTTCCTCAGACACTGCTGTTTTAATTGCTCTGTTTAGCCAGGAAATAACATGCATGGGTTTGTACTGATGGAGCTGCAGATAAGCTTCATTTGTACATCCATGCCATTGACTTCCCACAGACAAAGTATTTATTCTCAATACATACATAATGGAGACCAAGAATCATGTTGAGTCAAAAATAGATTAGAAATGTGAATTCACTTTAAGTAATTCTGTAATAGTGTAGGTCGCCTCGATCAATTCACTTAAATTCATTTTCAATTCAGTTTTATTTGTATAACACCAAATCACAACAAAAATCATCTCAGGGCACTTTACAAACTAAGGTTTGACCTAGACATTATTATTATTATTATTATT